CTGGAGCCGTCAATCGACAACAGCGCCAAATTTTTTGCGAACAGAGGAGCGCTCTTCCAGGAAATTTGGCTCAATGCCACTGTGTTATATCGAGTCAGCCGGAGGTTATTAGAGCGACTTCGGAAAAGGTATGTTTAACTGCTTTGATAATACTGTAAATGGTGTAATAAGAACGTCATATTGTTTAGTTGTTCAATCTGTTTACCTTCCAGATTTGACGCTTTTTGGTCCTTTCGTTGCCGAGATATTGCTGGAAATGCGAGGGGATTTTTAATTTAAATAGTTACTTTTGAACTTATTTTCTGTCATAAATTTATTGGTATCCACAGGAATTTGTTTTTTTCTTGTTGTAATCGCCGTGTGCTGTAGATGATAAATGTGAAAAAAAAAGAAGGGTTTGCCGATTATTTTTAAAGAAAAAATATTTTGAATGGAATAACTAAAAAAAACCCAATTTTTTAATAAATGAAAAAGGCTTTAAAATGTTATTGTAAAGGTAATGTTTTGGGAAGGAAACGAAAAATACAAGATAAGGGAAAATATTTGTCAAGAAAAAATTTTAAAAAAATCAAAGAAGTATGCTACATTGTTGGAAATGGAAGTTTTAGTGAGGTGGGTAGGTCGTTTGTTTGAACAGCTGCTTGTGAACTTACTTACTGCCATAATGTTGTTCATGTCCACAGGAATTTGTTAATTTTGTTGTTTTTGTGATGGTTGTGTGTCGTAGATCATAAATATGTTTTAAAAAAATAGGGTTTGGTATTTAGTATATATATATATATTTGAAATATATATTTTTAAATATATATATATATTTTTATTATATATATATTTAAAAACTCTAGTATTTAGTAGGCATTTTCAGAGAAAAAAAACATTTTGAACAAAATAGCTAAAAAGCCGGGTTATTTAACGACTGCAGAAGGTTTAAAAAATGTTAATGTTAAAGTGCTGTTTCGGAAACAGAAAGGAAACATGCAGGAAAGGGAGATGTATTTGTTAATTGAAAATTTAGAAGAAATTAAAAACAGAAGTGAAGTTGTTGGGAATGGAAGTTTTGGTGGAGCGGGTAGGACTTTTATTTCAACAGCTACTTGTGAACTTATTCACTGTTATAATTTTACTGTTATCCACAAATGCTTGTTAATTTTGTTGTTCCCGTAATCGTCGTTTATCGTAGGCAAGAAAAGTGCAGAAAAATAGGCGTTGCCGACCACTTACGGAGAAAAAACAATTGCAGTAAAAGAACAAGAAAACTCTAGTATTTAGTAGGTAAAAAAAGCCTTGAAAATGTTATTGTAAAAATAATGTTTCGGGAGCAGGAAGAAAGACTACAAGAAAGGGGGAACATAACTGTTAAATAAATATTTTTGAAAACTTAAAAAATTGCAGTGTAGTGGGTAGAGTGGGTAGAAAATTGAAGAAATATAATTAAAAATTTAGTGGCGTGGGTAGGACTTTCATTTTCAATAGCTGCTTTTGAACTTTTGAACTTATTTACTGTTATAATCTGGTTCATATGCACACCAATTTGATAATTTCGTTGTTGTCGTTTGTAATCGTCGTATATCGTAAACAACAAATGAATGAAACAGGGGCTGCCGAGTAAAAAAATTTTTTTTTTCTTTAGTAAGGAAAGAAATTTAAAAGAAACGAAGTTAAAAAGAAAATATTAAAACGGCTGCAGCTGTTATAAAAAACAGCTTTCTAAAACCGGAACAGTAAAAAGTATTTGTTTTAGTCGGAGCATGACATTCGTAAGCGAGCATTGAAGAAAACCGCTCAATTTCAAAATGGGGAGGCAATTGAGGCAAACGAGGAGGCTGTTGCAGAGGAAGTGGGTAGACAGCGCTTGCGAAACGACCGCAGTAGGGCAGGATGTGGCGTGTCAGACCGAGACCGCCACCTGCTGCGACGTCGGCTATCAAACCGACGTGGAATCGCTCCAGCGGCCTCGCCTTTGAGACATATCCAGTGCAGTACTGAACAGGACGGCAACCGATGGTAAGCATGATAAGAAGTGACAGTAAGCATGAGAAGTAATAATATAGGCAGTAATTAAATGACGCACGTGGTGTTACAGGACGCAGCAGGATGCCGCTGCCTAAAGTACCCAGCAGCCTGTCTCCACAGAGAAAGAGACGACGTTTGGAAATTTCGCTCATGAAGACGGCGAAGATGAAGGTCGGGACGAAGCTGTGCAATAAAGTGCGGCATTTCGTTGTTAACATGGCGGCAGCCGCGGACGTATGGAACTGCAAGCTGATCAGACTTGATTTGCAACCATCTCCGACTCCAGCTTTCATTTCCAGCGTTTTAGGTGTTTCCATCAACACCGCCTACAGTATCCTAGCACAGGCCCGGCCGGCAATTGATCGTGGAATGGAGATGCAGGTGCTGCCAACCTGCAAGTCTGCGAGGAAGCCGATGACGCGAAGGGACGTATGGGAGAACTATGCAGCCAGATTCGATCCAGTGGTACAATCCAGGAAATCATCAACCACCTCCACCGCGACAGCACGCCTGTAGTTGTCGAAAAACTACGGTAGTGCTTGAACAAATACTTCGGGGACTGCGAGTGCTGGCCGGTAAACGGAATTAGAGAAAAAAGACTCAGGAAACTGCTACTGAGACTTGGTCACAGCTATCGCCTACGTGTTATTCAATCATGTGATTAGTACGAAACAATCGATATAAGACAACGCGTCCAATTTTAGATATCAACTGGTCTAACGAAGTCCTGTGTTGATGAAGTCTGAACGCTTTTGCCGCCTACGTATCCCATACATCAAATGGATTCGGCAATGCAGGCACAACAGGAAGACTGTCGCCTACAAGGACGAGACATGGGTGTGGTGCGGCATGGGACACCGCAGAGACTGAGTCGTTCCCGAGAACTACCAAAATCCCTTCTCTGAATAGTTCTACCGGCAGGTACAACTTCCCGAGAGAAACGACTAGTCGTCCTGCATTGCATGACTGCAGAAGGGCCGATGAATGGAGTCGAGGAGGTGTTCATTTTGGGGCAGCGGAACAAGGATGGAGATTACCACTGGAACATGAGCTTTGAGGTTCATAAAACCTGATTCACCCGACTTGCTGCGACGCTGAAGACGAACTGCAGCAGTAAGGGCGTCGTCCTGGTGCTCGACAATTGCAATCGCAGTAAAAATCTCAACTGTTTTATCATTTTGCTACTCTTTACTTTCTTTTCGTTATTCTATTTGTTTTTGAACCCTACAAAATAAATTGGAATTCTCCTACTTTTTCCTTTTGTTGCTAGTCGATCTTCTGGATTGAATCTCCAGAATTTGTTAAACTATATGTGTAGATGCTGCCACGCGGATCTTGGGCTTTGAAGTTTTATTTCGATCAGCGAATACAAATACAGCGAAAACCTC